CCGCCGGCGCCCCAGGGGCCCGCAGCCAGCGCCCCGCACGCTCGCCCCGCCGGCGGCCCCCTCGGCCCAGCGGCCCCGCCAGGCGCTCCCGGGGATCGAGGGGGGCCGGCCGCGGGCCGCAGCGGGAGCTGCTGGGACTTGTAGTTCTCCCGCGCCCGCCGGCCTGAGCCTCGCCGCCCCCGCCCTCGCCCCCCGCCCCGCCAGCCTTTGTCCCGACCCGCCTGCCCAGCCCGTGGCCGGCCCGCTCCTGTGCCGGCCTCCCCGGTCCCCGTCCCCGTCCCCGTCCCCGTCCCCGCCTTTCTCCATCCCCGTCCCCGTCCGTCTCCGCCGTCCATCTCTATTCCTTTCTCTGCGTCTCCATTTCCATCGTTTTGCCTCTGTACCCCCCTCTCTCTCCCCCTCCTACCTCTGTCTCTAACTCTGTCTTTGTTCAAAAAGCACCATTTTGTCTCTCTCGACTGGCAACGCGCACAAGCTCTGAGAAGCCCTGCAATTTACAAGCTTCTGTATCTTCGCTTAATCCAGCGTTTCCCTAAGGCCCCGAGGAGGCGTTGGAGAGTCTGTCCCTGGGTTTTCCCGCTTCCTACCCAGTCAGGGGCCGCTCGGCTGTCACCCTGAGCCCGCTCTCCCCGGGTGATGATCCCTGGGAGAAGCCGGGGCGGAGACGGGAAGGACTCGCAGCTTTACCTGGAGACAAAGATCCCCGAGAGGGAACCAAAGAGCTCGGCTGCGGCTGGGCCGCGATGCTCTTCACGGAACATAAACAACAGTCACAGACATAAACACTGGGCGTACAAGGCCACTCTGTGACCACGTCTGCGCCAAGCCACAGACAACGCTCCAGCCACAAAAATGAACACAGCCCCTCCTGCCCCACCGACAGCTCCGCTTCCGAGATCACCACCACCCATCTGCTCCGCTTCCTGGCGGCTCCGAGGATGGCTTCTACGCTCTTCCACTCTCCTCAAAACTACCCAGCACATGTCCCGGTCCCATAAGATGCCCGCCTGCGCCCAGCTCGCTTACAGACGTGCTGTGGTTCCCCAGTGTGTGGTCTTCGTCGCTGGGGCAAACTAAACAAGCTTTGAGCACAGGTGTGTTTCTGATGGTCTTTGCCCGGTGAATGTTGACACCACCTACCCTTGAAGATAGCCTTGAGCAAATCAGGACTCTAGCAGCTGTCTCTCTTCCTTCCTGAACCTTCTAGACCTGTGCTTGCCTGTGGCGGGAGACCTGCTTTTCACCTCTTTGTGGAAAAGCCTGCAGTTGGATTATGTTGCTGGTTCTTCACCCTGCCGCCTCCTGGATGACCCTGGTGCAAATACTGCTGGTGATGCCAGCTGTTGTTTCTGTCTGCTTAGTAGCTCCACCAGCACCTTGCTTTCCCTCTGTGGGTCCCCCTCCACTTCTCCAGATGGGCCCGGATCTAACACAACCACCCCAGTGCCATGTGACCTACACTTATCAAAGAACCCCATCCCCTGGCCACAATAATTAGGTCTGGGATGAGGACGTGACTTTGGAGGGTCTCATTCTTCTGGGATTATGAGCTTTACACAGAGCCTCATTCTGCCTGCAGTCATCTTCCTTCGTGTCTGGATGGATAGTCTGCAGGCTGAAGCCAATCTACACCGGACATAAAGGTGAGACACAGCTCTGGCTATATTGGTTCAGCTCTTGGTGATAACCATGCCTGAAGCCAGAAGCCCTCATTCTTTATTATGAGCCAACACATTTCCTGGATTTTTGAGCTACTTCTACTGGGTTTCTGTCCCTTGCATCTCTGACAGTCTTGACTAATTTAGAAATGAGTACCTGGAAAGGGGAGAGTATTAAAGGAAATAAAATGTGAACTTGGCCGAGCAGAGATGACCTGCCTCTAGCCTGGCCGACCGGTGCTAATGGCATCCTATGTAATAAAGGGTAATATGCAAATCAACCAAACAGCTGAATGACCGGTCACTATGACGCGCACTGACCACCAGGGGGTAGACATTCAATGCAGGAGCTGCCCCCGGGTGGTCAGTGCGATCCCACTGGGGGAGCGCCCCTCAGCCAAAAGCCGGCTGACTGGGAGCTGGACTAAGCTGTCAGTCGGACATCCCCTGAGGGCTCCCAGACTGCAAAAGGGCGAAGGCTGGGCGGAGGGACCCTCCCCCCTCCCAGTGCACGAATGTCGTGCACTGGGCCTCTAGTACAGTATATGTGAAATTCATGCAAGGGGCTCGCACCTCCCTCCCCCCATGGCAGCTGCCTCTGCCTCGCCCCCGTGGCGCCTTGGCTTAGTCCGGAAGGTCGTCAGGAAGGTCCTCTGGTCTAATTAGCATATTATGCTTTTATTGTTATAGCTATTCACTGTAAAGGGAATAGGGCTTCCAAGAGTTGTGCAGTGCACAACCTGCCCTGTATATGGCATCCCTGTAGAATAGTCCTCCTCAGGAAATGAAATCTCCGTTATGTGAAAGAAAAATACTGATTAAATTGTTGCTATTTTGTCTTGGGACTCTAACCATGTGTTTTCTGAGACTGCAGCTTATGGGCTTTGGAGGAAAATATCAGGATGCTGTAATGTAAACAGAGATTAGCATCTACACAATCTTGTGAGAATGCCAGAGCTGAATTCTCTGCCCCAAACTAAAAGAGGAAGTTAGTAATGAGGTAGGAAGTAAAGTTGGGACTATCAGAGGACTGGGTGGAGGTTCTCAAACACTGAGCACTCCCTGTCTGTACAGGAAGCAGTCACCCTCCCAGGGAAGAGCCCATTAGCTGTCTTTCCACCTTCCAGACTGTAACCTGGGAATGGGCAGGCTTAAGGGGATGGGCAGGCTCAGGTCTGTTGCTAGAGACAGAATCCAGCAAGGTTGGGCTCCACACTCAGAGATCCTCGGGTGGACTGGGAACCAAATCACTCTGGGTGGGTTAGCGAGCTGGGCCGTCCAATCTCAGCGGTGAAGTTTGCGCTGTGCATGTGACTCCAGTAGGCCAATCAGAGTGTTCCTTAATTCCAATATGAGTTGGGAGGGAGAGATGTGACCCTGTTTCCTTGGGGGCTTTAATTCTAAGGATCTGTGGTACCTGTGTGTGTGTGTGTGTGTGTGTGTGTGTTTGCCACCAGCTGGGGGACTCAGGGTTGTTAGATTGTGAGGAAGAGTCCTGATGTGGATCCAGCATGTCTGATGTTAGACCTAATTCCAGACTTTCTTGATTCTAATAAAATCCCTTTCCACTTGAGCTAGAGCTGGGTTTTTGTCACTTGCAACAAAAATGACTTAAGACATTAAATTTAGGCACCATTCGTGGAGCTGCAGCCGAGGGGTGGGCCCTGTCCTAAGCATGGGTCGCGCACATTTTACTTGACCCTTGTAACCACTCTGTGAAGGAAGAGCTATTGCCACCCCCAAGCTACCACTGAGGAGCGAGGGTCAGCACGCAGGCACTTGTTGAAGGACAGAAATGCGGGTAAGTGGAAGGTCTGAACTCGGCTGCTCGGTGATGCTTCCCATGGACAAAGTTGTTTTCCTTTATATTCCGTCCTCTTCACTTTATTTCATAAACCTTTTTGGGTTTTGTCGTTCGCAGGAAATGCCTTTTTTAGAAGGTGAGTAGGATATAGGAGGGATCGACATAAAGTACATCCAGAATCATCAAGATGTTGTGTCTTTCTGCACTGATTAAATATTTCCGGTAAGGTTTCTTTTCTTTCTTGGCAACCCATCCTGGGACTGGTCAGTGTCATTAAAAATTGCTTCAAGGTTTGCTGAAATCTGTCTCCTTGTAAGTCCTACCCATTGTTTCTCACCCGGTGTCTGGGTTGCTTTAAGGCATTCCTAGAACCAGGCAGGAGCACACAAAAATTCTGCAACTGGAGCTGCATGGAACTGAACACCAAGGCAAGCTTTCAGAGTTTCTGGCAGGTAAGGCAAGAAGGGAAAGCCTTTTCGATCGGGTAATCTGGTCAAGAAGCAGACCAGCTCCATCAGGAGGACCTGATTGGTCCTGGGAATCGTCGTACGATGAATTTATTGCAGTAGTCCTCAACCAGGGCAACTCTCCCCCAGGGGACATTTGGCAATATCTGGAGACCTTTTTGGTTGTCACAACTGGTGGGGGGAGAGGGAGTGTGCTAACGGCATGGAATTGTTAAAGGTCAGGGAGGAGGCTAAACATGTCCTCTGACAACAAAGAATGATCTTATCCATTTGTCAATAGTACTGAGAAAGCAGCTGTGGTTTATCAAGAGGGGTTCTGCGGCCAGCAGACCCTCGTGGTCAACACGGATACCAGGAGTGCAGCCAAAGGGCCACCTTGTCTCTGGAAGCTGCTCTCCTTTCATTTCTGTGGAAATGACAACACAGCCTCACAGAATTGCTGCCTACAGGGAAAGGGCTCCTGGCTGGGCTCGGGGGTGGCTTTTAGTGGCCCATGCACTTGAGGGCCTTGGTCTTTTTTTTTTTTTTATCCTCACAAGATATGTTTATTGATTTTAGAGAGGAAGGGAGACAGAGAAACATTGATCTGTTGCCTCCCATATGTGCCCCAATCTGGGATCAAACCCAAAATCTAGGTATATGTACTGACCAGGTATTGAACCCTCAACCTTTTGATGTATAGGCTGACACTCTGACCAACTGACCCACCCAGCCAGGGCAGGAGGGCCTTGGTCTTTTGAAGATCTGACTACAGGGTCAGGGAGTCATATTCATTATTAAAAGGGTAATATGTAATTAGACCAGACGTCCTTCCTGACGAAGCCAGGGCCGGAGGGAAGCCAGCCTGGGTCCCGGGTGCCTACAGGCGGCCAGAGGAGGGAAGCTCGGGTCCCTGGTGCCGGAGGGAAGCCATTGCCGGCAGCTGGGGGAAGGAAGGCCTACTCTTGCACGAATTTTCATGCGAGCCTCTAGTCTACACTAATAAAAGAGAAACATGGTAATTGGCGTACAACCGCTACCCTTCCCATTGGCTAATTAGTGAGATATGCAAATTAACCACCAGCCAAGATGGTGGCTAATTTGCATATTGCAGGCGGGGCGGACAGTGCCAACCGCCAGCTCCCCTCCATCCAGGGCTGGCGGCAGAGGTCCCTGCCCTCATCCGGGCCTCCCGCAGGGAACCCGGGGCTGGCGGGTGGGACCGCGGTGTTGGCACCCGCTCCGCCCTCATCCGGGCCTCCCGTGGGCTGGCGGGTGGGACCGAACCCGCTTCACCCTCATCCAAGCCTCCCGCAGGGGACCCGGGGCTGGCGGGTGGGACCGAACCCGCTCTACCCTCATCCGGGCCTCCCTCAGGGAACCCAGGGCTGGCGGGTGGGACCCTGGTAATCGGGCACCCGCCCTGCCTTCATCCGGGCCTCCCGCAGGGAACCCGGGGCTGGCAGGTGGGACCGCGGTGTTCGGCACCCGATCCGCCCTCATCCGGGACTCCCACGGGGGACCTGGGGCTGGCGCGGTGTTCAACACCCGATCCGCCCTCATCCGGGCCTCCCGTGGGGGACCCAGGGCTGGCAGGTGGGACCAGGGTGTTGGGCACCTGCTCCGCCCTCATCTGGGCCTCCCGCCGGGTCCTGGGGTTGGCGGTCGGGCCGCAGCTATCGGGTACCCACCCGGGTATCCGCTGTGCTCCGGGCCGGGCGGCAGCAGCGATCTGCCCGCTGGCGCATCCCATGTGCTACCCAACTCGGGCGGGCAGGTCACGGGCATGCCTGGCAGCCTCAGTCAGTGCCTCAAGCCCCAGCAGCAGCAGCAGCAGAAGCAGCGGCAGTGGCAATAGCAGTGGCGGCAGTGCCCCCGACCTGCCCGCCCAGGTTTGAGTGGCCCCAAGCGGGCAGTGCTTTCCATCAGCCGATGGTTGGCGAACACGCATGCAGGTGAAATCACCAGCGCCTGCTTTCCCACAGGCCTGAGCCCCTCAGGCCTGTGGGAAAGCAGGCGCCCTGAGCTGGTGATCCCAAAGGCCTGATAGCCGGGCAGAGGAGGCGGTGTTAGGACTGGGGAGTGGTGAGCAGGCAGAACATGGCCCTGATTGGGCCAGTCGCTATGACGCCCACTGTAGCCAGCACACCGCCTGATCAGGGGGCCAGCAGCCAACCTCGCAGCCCCTCCCCCCTGCAGGCCTTCCCCTGATCAGACTCTCCCATCCACATGGAGAGCAGGGTGCTCAGAGCCTGGACCCGTCCTGGCAGCCCCGAGTCCCTGGGGTTAAGAATTCTGATGGCCCTGCCCAGAGAGTAGAGGTGCCTGAGGGGCAGGGACAGGGACCACAGGCCTCCAGGGAGCACCGCAGAGTTGGCAATGAGAGGAGAGGGCCTGTGAAGGGGGAGAAGGTGAAGCCAGTGGACATCAGCCCAGAATCCAGCTCTTCCCCTCCAGAGGCAGTAGGACCTAAACCCCAAACCCCAGCCAAAATTGGAAGAGCCTGAGGGAGCTTCAGGAAACTCTACGAAAAGCTGCACATTGAGAATGAGAGATTTCGTGAGGCCCTGACCCAGACCACGCTGCGGCTGGAGCAGCTCAAGGTGGAGCTGGAGCGCGCCATGCAGAGGCAAGAGCACTTTGCAGAGAGGCCGGCCATCCTGGAGCTGGCGAGATTTGAGTGCAGGGCCCTGGAGTGCAAGGCCGCTGAGCTGGAAGAGGAGCTGAAGGGCCTGTCCAATCTCCGAGCTGACAACCAGCGCCTCAAGGATGAAAATGTGGCCCTGATCTGCGTCATCAGCAAACTGTCCAAGTGACCCCGGAGAACTTGCTCCTGCACCCGCATTTATACAGCTGCTTTTGCCACATGCACCCCTTCCCTGTGTGAACATGAGTGATAGGGCTGTTGAGGAGTCTCTGAGAAGCCATAACCTTCCTTGAGATCTCCAGGTTAGGAGAGGAGGACAGAGCCCCCAGGAGCCCCCATCTGAGGCCAGGTAGGGGGACCAAGGCTGCAGGCAGGACCAGAAAGGAACTGGGGACCAGGAAGTGCCAAGACCAGTAGCCAGGACCAGAGTGGTCACCCAGAGGTCCCCTCTCACGTGTGCTGCCACCAGTCACCCCTCCAGGCCCTGAGCAGGGATCCTAGAATGTGCCAAGCATCCCGCCGGCCTGGGCCAGGTGAGCCTGTATATAGGGTCTGTGTGCAATAGGGAGGGATGTCTTCTATTTTTTGCTGCCCCCTCCCCATCGCTCTCCTGGGCAGGGGGAGAAGGTCTTTTTCAGACATAGCATAGGCACCACAAGTTACAGTTGTGGAGTTGCCAAAAAAAAAAAAAAAAAAGAGCAGGCCAGCTGGCCAAATACCTCCCCTTTCCCCCCCCACCGCCCCCCGCCAGCCACATCCTTGACCAACCTGCCCCACCACAATAGGCCCACAGACCCTCCCCGTGGCTATCTGCCCCTGATTGCACCCCCCCACCCCAAGAGGGGGCAGGGCTGGGCGGCCAATGTCCTGCAGCCCCTCCCCAGATTGGCCCCACCCTTGATCCCCCCACTCCAATAGGGGGCAGGGCTGGCCAGCCAATCTCCTGCAGCCTCTCCCCTTGCCCAGCCCCACCCCAGATTGCCCCCCTACCCCCACCGCAATCAGGGGCAGGGCTGGCTGGCCAACCACCCATGGCTCTTCCCCCAGGCCACTGGCCCTGATTGCCACCCCCCAACCCATTTGGGGGGATGGTTGCCCAACCCACCAACCACAGCCCCTCCCCATGGCCAGCCCCACCCCCAATCGGCCCCCCAACCCCAATCAGGCTGGTGAGGGAGGGGCAGTTGGGAGCAATCAGGCTGGTGGCAGGGGGTAGTTGGGGGCAAACAGGCTGGCAGGGGAGGCAGTTGGGGGTGATCAGGCCAGCAGTTGGGGGTGATCAGGCTGGCAAACAGAGTGGTTAGGGGCAATCAGGCAGGCACGCAGGCAAGTAAGTGGTTAAGAGCCAGCGGTCCTGAGTTGCGAGAGGGATGTCCGGCTGCTGGTAAAGGATCGGGCCTAAACAGGCAGTCTGACATCCCCCAAGGAGTCCCAGATTGGAGAGGGTGCAGGCCAGGCTGAGGGGCCCCCCTCCCCCCAGTGCACGAATTTCGTGCACCGGGCCTCTAGTATATATATATAATTGATTTCAGAAAGGAAGGAAGAGGAAGAGAGATAGAAACATCAATGGTGAGAGAGGACCATTGATTGGCTGACTCCTGCACGCCCTCCACAACCAGGGCATGTGCCCTTTACCGGAATCAAACCCGGGACCCTTCAGTCCACAGGCCAGTGCTCTATCCACTGAGCAAAACCAGCTAGGGCCATATTCATTCTTTGATTCTCAACAGCCTACAGAGGCAGGTCCTGGGTATGGCCACCAAGACCCTCCTTATCCCAGATTGAACCACCCAGCTTCTTGGTGTTCCTGCCAGACCCCAGACGGCCAGGTAGGTGCTGTCCAAGGTACTGGTCCTTTCCATGCTTGCTAAACAGGTTACCCATGGGCTTCAGGGGCCCCATCCCATCCTCCTCTTCCCCCCCTTTTCATCTTGTTGCTGGCTGGACACCTAGACCCTTGAACCTCATCATATCCTGATGGATTTTGTGAGTTCTGACTAGTCACCCAGCCAGTCAGGGCACCAATAATCTCCCAGCCTCTGTCCACAATGGAGGAAACTGCAGGACCAACATGGTGTCGACCCCTTCATTCCCCCTCCGAGCCCTACCCAGTCTTTTAAGGATTGAAATCTCACACCTTCATCTTCTTCTCACCTACTCACCTTTATCTTCAGAAGATAAGCTCTCTCCCTCCTTTACCCCAGCCACACATTTCGCATTTATAACATTAACGGAGAGAGCTACTATTTATCTCCATTTTACAGATGAACAAACTGAGGCTAGAGGGGTTAAATTACTTGCCCAATGCTACAATCCAGGGCATAGAGAAGTCAGGATTTCGACTTTGTCCATCAGCCACAGAAGCCTGCATTCTCAATGTCTTGCCACACTGCCTCTGTTCAATACTAACTCCATCCTCTCCGTGTCATTCATTAATTGTCATGGCACCAGAACATTTTATACCGAATCTGTCCGCCAAGTCTTTGCACAAACTGGCAAGGCCTCCCCGCCCAGAGTGGGGCGACCTCCAGAGTCTCCTGATGGAGTCATTCTTTCCTGTTCAGTCCCCACTCACCCAAGCATCCTCTTTCATGTCTGACGGACGGAGAGGGACCGGATGTTGCCGGGTGGTGTTTATTGCTGGCTAGGGCACGGGTAGGTAGGGACCTGGGGGGCCTGAGGGTCTACCCTCCCACCCCAGCAGCCCTGGTCAGAGGAGCCCAGTGGCAAGTGGCTTTCCTGGAAGTTGCCAAATCTCAGCACTGTCGGACCCTGGTACTTGAAGGTAAACTGGTCCTTGTATTGGGTTGAGAAGCAGCGCTGCCTGCCCAGCGGGGGCTCCATGTGGCTATCCTTGCACTGTGGAGTCAGGGTGGGGAGCCTGGCAGGGCAGCCTGGAGGGTGGCTGACCCCCCTGGGCCACCCTGTGGCTCACCACCCTGGGAGGATCAAAACTTGGTCATGGGCTCTGGGGAGGTGGGCAAAAGGGACCCCAGTTTGGGCTGCCCCAGGAGCTGAATGAGAAACTGGGGGAGTGGCTGGGGTGACTCCAGGCAGCCCTGAGATAACCCTCAGCTGATGGTGTAACTGTGGCTGGTGATACAGAGATGTTTCTGAGCTGACCCTGCCATGACCCTGGGGATGAGCTTGGAATGATCTTGAGGCTGGGATGACATAGCATCAAGATAACCCTGAGTTTGGGGTGACTCTAGAGTGACTCTGAGAGGACCTGACACTAATTCTGAGTCTGAGGTGACATGAAAGCATCCTGAGATAACTCTACACTGACTTGGGGGTTCCCTGGTAAGGGAGGGGCCCCTCACCCGCTGTAGCATCTCCTGGGTCATGGAGGCCGGAGCTGTTCTGTGTGGTTTCAGCATCTTCTGGTTCATGGTCAATAAATCTGGTTCTGGAGATTTGAGTGTGGGTGGCTGAACTGAGGGGCTGAGGAGGAGAGGCAGGCCCCAGAGGGCAGGGACGTAGGAGATTAAGAATGGGTAGGGGTTCAGGGTGCAGCCGGGCCCATGCTGATTAGGAGGCGGGAAGGAGGGAGGGGCTGAGATGTTTGTTGGGGGTGAGGGTAGGGTAGGCTAGTGAGTCGGAACCGGCCAGAGCCTGACTGAGGAAAGGGCGGTGTGATGGTGGAGGTGGGGGGGGTGGGTGGTCATGACGATGAGGGGCGGGTTGTCTAGGGCAGGAGTTGGGATCTTGGTGGATGGAGTGGGATCTAGCCCTCCCGGAAGTAGAACCAGAATGAGGCCAGAGCGGTGGCAGGGGCGGGCCTTGTGGGGTGGGTCTCACTCACCGCCCAAGCCCTCCGGCAGGTTGCTAGGCAGCAAGTGCAGGTTGGGTGCTTTCTCTGGCCGCTCTGTGCTGGCGGGGGGATAGTCCGTGCCCATGGTGGTCTGGAAGAACTGCCCCAGCAGCTTCGAGTCCCCTAGGATCACGTGATCCTGCAATTGCTCATGAGGTGTGTGGCGGCTGTTGGGGTTGGTCACCGGTGGCGGCTATAGGACCACAGGACACTAGGAAGCTCCCATGTCCAGCGTGTCCCGAGGCCCGGTCGGAGGGAAGAGCTGTGTGACCTTGGACAGCTCAACCCTCTCTGGACCCCACTTGACGGCACTCAGAGTTGGTATTCTCTCATTTTACAGACGGGGTCACTGAGGCTGGGAGTGGTTAAGGGGCTGCCCTAGATCATGCAAATAGGTTCAGGAGAGCACTGCACACATGTCAAGCTTACTCCTACCTCAGGGCCTTTGCACATGCTATTTGCTCTCCCTGGGAAGCCCTTTTACCCCGATGAGCCCTGCCTGCTCCCCGACTTCCCACTGACCTGGCCATAGAAGAAGTTCATGGAGGTGGTGAGGCTGCCTGGACCGGGGCACCAATTTCCTTCCAGGATGTGGGACTCCGGAGTCTGGTCACTGTGATGAACAAAAGGCTCTGCCAGCGGCAGAGTGGGGCTCAGCAGCTCTAGCAGGCTGCCCTGGAGCCAGGGGCGGGCCGGCCGCAGCTCTCACCTGGCTGCCGGCCATAGAAGTGCTCGGCACTGGTGGTCCCGTCATGGAAGAGGCCGTCTCCAGGACTAGCACTCGAATAGTGGATGCAGGCTGAGGCCTGGGCCTTGTCATACCTGCATATAAAGGGGGCGGGGGTGGGGGAGGCATCCATCTGACCTGGGCCCTGGAAACTCCCGGGAAAAGGGATGGGGGCAGGGTCCCTAGTGGGCAGCCTGTGGTGCTAATGGGGGAGGTCTGGCACAGCAGCGGGCCTAGTCCGCAGGTAATAGAGACCCCAGAGGCACAGTGTTGGCCCCACAGCCTTTGGTGGCACACTGCCCATCGCTGCGAGCCCTGTGCCCTGTCTTGGTGGCGGGCCATGGCCCCTCTGTACCTGTCTGGGGGCAGATCCCTGGGCCTGTAGGCTTGTTTCTGCTCGGAATACACGGGCCCATAGCCAATCTTGAAGTCTCCCAGGGCCACACTGGAGGAGTCCTGTGAGTGGACAGGGGTGGGAAGGGCGAGGCCACCAGCCCTGTCACTGCCCTCCCCAGCCGCACAGCAGACTTAATTTACCCTCTTACACATCAAGGCAGGGGGGCCCACCAGGGCCTGGAACTGTCTCTGGTAGGAGGTCCTGTCATCCCATCTCTTGTGGTCCCATCTCCTGTGATCCCACGTGAGGGGGGAGGGGCCCCCTGGGGGTGGCAAGATGACAGAGAGAAGGGGGTTAGGCCCTGCAGCCTCAGGCCCACTGTGGAAGTGGGCAGTCCTGACTAGCTTAGCCTGAGGGCTGCTTGGCAAACCCCAAAAATAATACAAATAACAAAACCAAGAATACCTCCCAAGTGCTGAGCCAGATATCTAGGTTAAGTCCTTTGCCCCTCATTGGGGGGGGGGGGGGGGCGGGCACTGGCATTAGCCCCTCCTTCACTTTGCAGCCTCTCTGAGGCTCAGAGCCGTAGGAATCACAGGAATCCAGCCCTGGCCCGTGTGTCTCAATGGGCTGGGCATCGCACCAAAGGCTGCAGGTTCATTCCCGGTCAGGGCACACGCTGGGGTTTCAGGCTCCATCCCTGGTGGGAGGAGGGGGGTGCAGGAGGCCACCGAATGTTTGGTTCTCACATCTATGTTTCTCTTTCTCTTTCTCCCTCTCCCTTTCTCTCTCTAAAAATCAATAAAAATCTTAAACAAAGAAGAAGAAGGAGAGAAAAGAAAAGAAAAGAAAAGAAAAGAAAAGAATCAGAACCAGAACTGAGTCTGACAATCGCTGGACCCAGGTTGAAGGGGCTCTGCCTAGCGATACCCACCAGCCGTTCCCCTTGACTAAGAACTGGAGCATCACGCGGACAGCCGCTCTCTGGGGAGCGCCCACTGGACAGCCGCTCTCTGGGGAGCGCCCACTCTATGCCGGGCACCGGCACCTGGTCTGTTTGCTTCCCCAGCTCCCGCCAAGGGGGCTGTGCTGTTGCCAGCGGCAGTGTGGAGGGCGGACTGAGGCGCAGGGCTGGGGGGGCGGCGTGGGTCACTAACAGACTTGTCTGACCCCCAGTCCAGCATTCATTGCTTCTGCCCACAGCACAGCCTCTGACAGGATTCAGGAGATGTGCCCATTCCACGGGTGCAAAGAGCGAGGTTCCGGGGTTTTTCAACCTCGCAGCATTGACCTCTGGGGCTGGGTCATTATCGTGGGGGCTGCCCCGTGCATGGTGGGATGTTCAGCAGCATCCCGGCCTCTGCACTCCAGCAGCACCCCCTCTCCCCGTTGTGACAACCACATCCATCCCCAGACATTGCCAAATGCCCCCCGGGGGCGGGGGCGGAGTCCCGCCCGCTTCGAGCGCCTCCGGGCGGCCAGACAGCGCGGGCGTCG